TTAAAAATAACATTAAAAGTCTTTAATTTAGCTTGAAGTAAAATCCTTATTTGTTTGTTTTTTCATAAAGCGCATTTTTCTATGAGGTGCCGTGTAGGATTTAAATCAAACTTTGCTTATCAACACATACAAAAAACATGTGTATATACACCTATAAATTACTCGCATATACACCAATACTACTGGATGTTCAAAACAACATAGATGAAACTTGTGTATATACATATAAACTTGACGCATGAATACACACACGCATACGTATAAACTTGATCCTCACATAAACACCCACATTAACACACGCACATACATATAAACTTGCTGCATGCAAACACACCGATACACACTTGCATATACATATAAACTTGATTCTCGCATAAATACCTACATTTACACGCACATACATATAAACTCGCAGCATTCAAACACACCTATACACTCTCGCATATACATATAAACTCGATCTATGCATATACACCCACAACAACACACGCTCATACACAAACTCACTGCATGCAAACACACCTATACTGGCATATAGCCCCAATGCTTAAACTCAATGTGTGCATAAGCACCCAAAATAACACTCTCGAAAACATCGAAAAAATGAATAAATAAATTAAATTCACAAACGTTTATCACGAATCTGGTTATTGCAAAGCTTATGAAATAAAAATAATCCAATTAATAGAGGGATTAAATATGTTAAATTATGAACGTTCATTCATTTTCTTGTAGGCTTAGTCCCTTTATTAATCTGGTGTTGCCACAACAGAATGAACCGCCAACTTATCCAGCAAGTTTTTACGCAGCGGATGCCCTTCCAGCAGCAACCCATCTCTGGGAAACATCCACAGACACATTCACACACACACACACACTACGGACAATTTAGCCTACCTAATTCACCTGTACCGCATGTCTTTGGACTGTGGGGGAAACCGGAGCACCTGGAGGAAACCCACGCGAAAGCAGGGAGAACATGCAAATTCCACACAGAAACGCCAACTGAGGCGAGGTTCGAACCAGCGACCTAGCGACTTTCTTGCCTGTGAGGCGACAGCACTACCTACTGTTCCACTGCCTCTCCAATTATGAACATATGTTATATAAAATATTAGTCTATATAAATAGACTATTCAAAATAAGAAATATTTTTATTTAAAACCTTTTCATTTAATTAGGTAATTACATACACAAATATAAATGGACAAGATGGAACCCTTAAAGGACGTTCAAAAAGCAACCAGAACTATAAATATAAATGTATACTCAAACTAAACTCCTCTTTTCTATTGCAAATGTTAATGTAGCCTATATTTTTCTTGTTTTGTTTTTTTAAATTCTTATAACTATTATGCTTTTTATATGTTTTTACAATGTGGGTGTCAAAATTGCAAGATTTTGGTATCATTGTGATTGTTAATTATTCAGCATAAAATAAATAAATAAATAAAAAACGCTGATTAAAAGTCTCTGCTCTGGACAATCCTTTTGTGTTTGATAACTAATACTTTTAATTTTTACATCAGCTGGCATCCAGCATTTTGGTGCATTAGCCTGTTTATTGGTGACAGGAAAACCCACTTAAGTGCATTCCTGCCCCCTACTGGACATAAGTGTGTATCATAACCCTTGACGAATAGTGACACCAATAATAAAACAAACATAAAAAAACTAATATTAAACAAACATATTTTATTCAAAATGATTACTTAAGCAACCTTTTTATTTATTTATTATTTATTTATTAAACCATAATAACATTTCCAATAATTTAATTGCTTAATAAACCTTTAATTTTGCAGGAGCATTCCTTAGCATTATCTTTTTATTTATTTTAGCAAAATTAGCAAAATCTATTTTTGTAATTCAACAGATGTAATTCCTCTATTAATCACATTATTTCTGTTTCTTAAGGTTTGCAATAACCTGATTCATGACAAATAATAATCTTGTTCATTACACTCAAAGGACTTTTACGTTGAAATTAAACGACTTCCTTTTAAAGTGAAATAACTTCCTTTTACTGTGAAAATCCATGCATACACACATATGAAATCACTTGCATATTTGTATATACACAACTAACTGTATATATGTGTGTCTGTATGTTTGTGAATTTTATTTTATATGTTTGCACAAGTGTCATTTGTGTGTTTATGCACACATCAAGTTTATATTCTTATGTGAGAGTTTATGGGTGTATATGCATAGATCAAGTTTATATGTATATGCAAGTGTGTATAGGTGTGTTTGCATGCAGCAAGTTTATATGTATGTGCGTGTGTTAATGTGGGTGTTTATGTGAGGATCGAGTTTATATGTATGTGCGTGTTTATGTGGGTGTATTCATGCGTCAAGTTTATATGTATATACACAAGTTTCATCTATGTTGTTTTGAACATCCAGTAGTATAGGTGTATATGCAAGTAATTTATAGGTGTATATACACATGTTTTATGTATGTGTTGATAAGCAAAGTTTGATTTAAATCCTATACGGCACCTCATAGTTTAACTTTTATTTTCACTTAACAGTAAGAGGGCTGAGCGCACGCTTTGTTTAACTACTAGTCTTTCAGGATTTTTTTGTTTGTTTGTTTTCTTAAAGTTGATGACATTTTTAGGTATCTAAAGTCTTGGTTCTGTAGTCTGTTAAGCACAATGTAGTTATATTAGTAGTAGCTTGGATTGCTAAACATGGAGTCAGATGATGATTGTTAATGTGAGTTGGACTACACATGGAAGGATGAATACAAAAAAAAAAAAAAAAAAAACACCCAGAAAAAAAGGTAGTTTGGAAAATGTAGTTTTGTGGCTATTAGAGAAGCAAAGGCTGTCATTTTCTGTTGTCTCCCTTTATGTTCATACATTATAAAATCATTCAGTATTGAATAAATAATAAATAGTTAAAACTCAACAGTTAACAAAATTGTATTTTTAGCCACCAAAACCTGTTGCATAATCGGTCATTTCGTCTGATGAAAACTCCTGATCTCGTACATAAAGCTTTTATAGAAATAAAAAGAAATAAATACATATTTTATTTGCTTTACTAAATAAACTGATTAAATGCTGTTAACTCTCTTGTACAGTATAAAAATTGTAAACCCACTCACAGTACATACATACTTCCTTATCAGAAAATTGGTCAAACGTGATGCATTTTAAATGCCTGGTTTGAAAAAGCAGAATTTCCAGTAATAAAAGTCCTGTTCTTCGATTTTTGCAGATATACAGACAAAAACCTGCGCATCACATGCATCCTGAAGTATAGGGACTCTAGGATTGGAGCACTATCAGGCCCTGCTGGTCAAGTTCTTCCTCCATGAGACTTTTGTAAACGGAGAACTTTGACATGTGAAACAAAGTATACAAGATTACTTTATATTTGCAGTGTTGGACAAATCAAAGAGGAAGGAGCTGGTTAAATATGCTTATGAGCATTTTAAACCACAAGAAGACATTGTCTGGGGCCCAAAGAAGATTCTGCAAAAGAAAACATCAAAGAAAGTTGAGAAGGAAAGGGAGAAAACAAATAAGAGCATTTAGGGAGTAAACTAAATGGATCTCTGTCCTCCTCCTGAAGGCATAGGTAGCATTTTTTTTTTTTTAAATGGTCAACAAAAAGATGATGAAGCAGTTAGTCAAAACAAACTGATGGGAGAAAATATTCAAAGTGATCAGAAGGCAAACAATGATAACAGTCAAAGTTGCTCAAAAAAGGAAGCCATAAATAGCTAAATCAGGAGTGGGGATGGTGATGAGGATGATGATGATGGTAATGAAATGTCTCATCGTGTTGATTTTCAGAAATGTTCTCCATGAAGAATTTTTGTGTCTGGCTCAGAAATTATGGAACAAGATTTTTCTCCAAAACCAAAACTGTATTACAGAAAATAAATATAAACAAAAACCTGAACTTAATGGGTCATTCTTAAAGTTGTATATAGCATTATATAGCATTTTTCTGCATGTTAATTGCATGAAGCTATTTGTTTATGCCAGTGATTCCAAATAAAATGTTTTGTTGCTTACTGTGCATTGGGTTTAGGTTCTAAAAGACCCATAAATTATTTTTGTGTTTATTTTTAATTGTTTGTTTCCATAAAGGTATCATAGATAAAGTTTCAGATTAAAACGTAGCCAGGGACAATGTTTTGCTACTTGCTATTATTGCTAAAAACCAAAAGGACAGGAGTGATTTCAATTTAAATCTAGCTGTTAATTAACGTCATTCAGACTTACCTTTTGTCATGTGGCGTGAAACCTTTGCAGAACATTTGAGCAACACCTGGCAACCCTTAAAATAAGCCCTGCATTTCCTTGTTGTTGAACTACGCCAGAAATGCCGTCGGTTCACCGTTTCAACTTTCATTTTCACTTAATGGTGGGAGGGCTAAGTGCGCTTTGTTTAACTAACTCTGGCTTTTTGCTCGATGTACTTAAAGCTGGTAACATTTCTGAGGTGTCTGAAGTCTTGGTTCTTTGGCCTGTTAAGGTTTACACATAATTTGTTTGCTCGTACTTGGTTTCGTCGTATTAATAGTAGTTTGCGGTCTACTAAACATATTAGTATGGAGTCAGATGATGATTGCGACTGCGAGTTTGACTCCACATGGGAGGATGAAGATGAAAACAAAACACCCAATGAGAAGGTTTTTTATAACTACTTTTTCCAACAACAGTGTTAACATTTCTTGGTTATACTGTTTATTTATTTTGTTTAAGTTGTTTAATGCTTCTATTCTTCCAATATCTCTATTGAAAACAACAAGGTCTCACTTGGAATTTTCGTTTACTTTGTATATTTAGCTCAAGAAGAGTCGCAGGAACATGTATGCAGCCAAGGACATGCAAGACTTCCGGCATCGTTGCCTGGTGAGTTTCATTAACTTGTATAAGATAAGATATACCTATGTGAGAGAGAGTAAGAGCCACTTTTAAACTCTTCACTAGGCAAGAAGAGCTAGAGTTAAAGAGTACAGCCGTAAATATGCCTGTTTAAAAAGAAAGCTTCTGAACACATGACATGATGAAGTATCTCACTGACATGTCTTTCTCCACTTTCTTTTCTGTCAAATAAACATGCCAGCTCACATTGGTCCACTGACGTGTGTGGGAAAAATTACAGATTTGTTTGTTTGTTTGTCTCTAGGAACTAGATGATGACTATGAGGAGGATTATACCATGGAAAAAGAAGATGATGCATTTCAGATTGTCAGAATTTGCTATTTACAATGTTTATAAACCATATTTTAAAGTATAATTTACCTGCATCTCTGGTGTAATGCTAGATTTGATTTGTATGAAATGCTTGAGAAATTGTTGCATTTATTTATATATATATATGTGTGTGTGTGTGTGTGTGTGTGTGTGGGTATATATTGTTGTTGTCATCCCCTAGAATCCCCTATATCATCTGAAGTTTTACAGAGGTGAAATAAAAGCTGCGCCAGTCGGTATGACATTACATTCTTCATACACTGTATTTGAGTAACACTTTTGTCCAATACAAGAGTCATTATAGGAAGCCAGGTTTTTAACATAACACCATTATTTGTGCAGCTATTCACATTGATGGTTTTCACAAAGACTGGTGGGGTCAATATGATTTGCTTGAAAAGGCTCACTACTACATTCAATGGTAAGTTTCACTTAATCCATTTAAATGTATTTAAATTTTAATTGTACATATTTTTATGTACACTGTAAATTCTAACATGTTCAGTTTACTTAAAAAAAGTTTGGAAACCGATTGCCTTATTTTTGCAATATAAACTTACAAGGAAATCTTAAGTTAAGTTTAATTATTGCCTTGAAGTAAGAAAACTAAAACTTATAAAGTAAACTAACTGTTAAAAATTAAGTAAGTTTAATAGAAAATTCTAGTTAACATACTTGTCATTATTTAGTAATCTTACTTAGGGTTTTATAGTAAGATTACTTTAATAACTCTATTTAACTAATACTGTTCTACCATGTTCAGTTAACATCTTGAATGCTAGTAGTCTCAACATTGTTTTAATCCACCATTTTAAGTAATGTCAACTAAAGAAACTACGTGCAATCGGTTTCCACATTTTCTTCAATTAAACTGAACATAAAATATGTAGTTCAACTTACAAGTAATGACATTATACAGGTCTTAAATGTAAACATTTTATTTGACAAAATTAGCAGAATTTCACAATACACTTGTGATATTTTAGTATCACAATACACTTGTACACAATACATTTTTGTAAAAACCTGTTGTAAAGTGCTGTAATATACTGTAAACAGCAATACAGACAAAAAATATAATAAACATGTTCAACCCTAAAAAACAAGTTTTCGAAAAGGTTTGAAAATCTATCAAAAAAACTTTAAATACTTGACACTTGGAAAAAAGATACTTGAATTAGTGTAATTAAACATGCCATTGCACCAGCACCTTAAACATGGCAGCATATAGACACTCACAGAGGAACAGATATTAAGCTTTAAAGCTAATTTGTTAGACTGTGTAGTTTAGATTTTCCTACAGAAAATATCACATTAGTGTGGTCAAAAGTATTGAGTTTGGTATCAATCAATACTGTAATATTAAAAATATCCATTTTCCACCAGCATTTGAGTGCTACTGAGCTCGTTCTTAAACACCATTGATTGGCCACCGTGTTCACATGCTCAACAGAAATGACTGTGATTGGCTGTGACTGTCATAGGTTTACCATTTTTCACTGAGTCCAAACAAAGTTACACAGACACTGAAGTGTTTCAAAGCCATGTCGATAGCTGATTTGTTTAGAAGCTAACATTTAAGCTATCTGGTGATGAATCGACTGATCGACAGTGCTTTGAAGTTATCTAGTGTCTTTGTATCTTTGCACCTGGTGAACAGTGGTGAAGTGTGGTAAAAATAATGACCTTCAAAGCCAATCAGTCATATCTACTGAGCATGTGAACACAATGGCCAATCAGTTCTTGCGATGTTAGTGGGAAATGGATGGACTTTTTTTTTTTTATTTCAGTACCGATTGGTACCAAACTCAATACTTTTGACAACCCTATAAATCACAATACACTTTTTTGGTAAAAAAAAAAAAAAAAAGTGTTTTAAACACCAAAATGCTGCAGTCCTAAATGTAACACTGCAAACAGCAACATGTTAAAAAGCAACACTTTGTAATTAAACATGCCATTATACCTGAACCTTTAAACATAAAGCACAGCAGTATACAGGCACTCGCCGAATAAAACACATTACGCTTCCCTCCCAGCAAAAGCAACACACGTTGAACAAATTCAAATGCATTGCTCAAAGTCTTTGGGTAGTCCGAATTCAGTGTGTAAATCAAAGCAAAAAAAAGAGACATACTGCATGTGGCAAAGTCCATAACCACTTTTCCTTCCAGTATAAAGGCCCACATTGCATCCATAATGAGGTTCTTTAGACATCTTCACACACGACAGTCAGCAGGCCAACATCTTCTGCACTGAAGCCCGACTCTACAA